CTTGATAAAACCATTTCTCCTTTGGGATAAAAAAGGGAGGGTTGAGATAAACCAGTGCCTGTTTCATGCATTTCGTGCCTTGGCCGAGCTGCTTCTCCCGGCCTGTGCTTCTAACCCCAGGGGTGGGCTGGGGAGGGGAGGGAAGGGGTCCGAGCTATCCCCGGGGGGCAGTGGGGCTGCGGAGGGGCCCCGAGGAGCCAGGGGTGGGGAAACAACATGTCAGTTCACTGGCCTACTGGTTTCTCTTCCCCCCGGGGGGGGGGGGGGCGAGGGCTGGCTGACTTCATCTGTGCGTCTGTCCGGTGACATCTCTTAGAGATGCTGAAAGTTTCCCTAAGAGTGGGCGCTGGCCCTGCCTCATCCTCTCGCTCCTCTCTGACTCCATGGAGGGCAGGGAGCCGCCTCCCGTCCCACCTCAGAACCAGGCATGGCTGCAGCCAGGAGGGAAGGGGAATGCAGATCCTGCAGCCCTGAATCTTCTGTCCAAGTGCTTCAGGACCATCAAGTTGCCACATGCACAAAGGCACAAACACAGCTGTGACCAGGGCCTGGATAAAAGCATGGTGCCTCTCAGGGAGGGCCAGCCTGTGGGGTCCGGTACTGGTACTGTTAGGGGGAAAAGGCTGTCCTAAAGCTAATTCCATACAGGCTTTGTGGACTCCACCCCCACCCCAGGCCAAAGCCAAAGACACGGGGAACTCCACATCCCATCACCACCAAAGGGAAGGTGGCTGGGGCCTGAGGGTGGGGTTAAGCAGCCAGGTGGATATAAAGGCAGACACGTGGGCTTTGGGGGGGGTCCCCCATTTTGGCTCTCCGCCAGCTCGCAGCATCTGGCCAGCTCTGAGAGTGACTTTGGGTTTCCAGGTCGGCGGATCGGGTAGGACGCATTAAAGACTTTATTTCCCTATTTTCTCCCTGAGTTGTACATTTTCCTTATTTCCTTTTCCCTTGTAAATAAACCTTTGATTAACCCTTTTGTGTGTGCTTGTAGTGGAGTATTCATAAGTCCCTTTTAAGTGTGCGGGTGAGGACCCACAGCCAGGAACCTGTTCAATATCGGGGCTGCTCTATAACAGCGCTGCTTTTGTTTATTTATTTATTTATTTATTTATTTATTTATTTATATAAATATGTTACATATAATATGATATATAATGATATAATATATGACATATATAATGATGTATCATATTATGGTACATATGATGTACCATATGATGTACCATAATTCTGTAATTTATTTAGCCAGTCCCCACTGGCAATGAGGTACCATTGTTCATTTTGTACAATGTTTGATTTCTCCTCTCAGGTGTAATCCCCTAAAATTCCCACCACCAAGACACCGGTGAACCGTCACCGTAGTTCTTGTGCTCTTCCTTCCCCTCCCCATGCTGTATGTCTCCAATTTATAGTTTACCTGCTAGTTTTGTCCTTTTATATCTTTTCCTGATGCCTTGTTTGGTTCCCCTATATTCCTCCTAGGAGTGAGACCATCCAATATTTTTCCTTTTCCTTCTGACTTATTTCACTGAACATAATCCCTTCTAGCTCCATCCATGTTGCTGCAAATGACATGAGAGTTCATCTTTTTGATTGCTGTGTAGTATTCCATGTGTACATGCACCACAAAAACTTCCCAGGTGATTGTAAGCTACAGCCAGGCTGAGGCAGAGCACCCCCTGCAGGGGGCTTTGAGTTCTGCACTTGGTTCCTCTGCAGTTTCCAGTATGTCTGACAGGAAGTGGGGCTTTCTGATCCAGTCCCATCAAAATGCAAAGTCCCTGGTTTTCACTTCCTGGTGTCAACCCCAATAGTGACCCTCTACCCTCATTTTTTTTTTTTTAACTTCATTGTTCTCTGATCCTCACACCAGGGTCTGGGAAGGGAAGAAGCTGGGAGAAGCAGGAGGACGTCTGTTCTCTTACAGTTCGTGGGAGAGCAGGAAAGAAAAGCTAAAGTCTTTTTTTTTTAAATTAAAGCTTTTAAATTTAATTCTTTGAATAAGTAATATAGTCACAAGGTTAAAAAAAAAAGAAAAGCTGGAGAGTGAACACTCTCCCTCCCTCCGCACCTCCCTCACCCCACCTCAGCCAGGCCTATTCTGCCTCCTTCCTCACCGCACACCCTTTTTTGTCTCTTTGATAAGTTTTGGTTTCTTTTGATGATACAAGCCAAGAAAAAAACCTCCCCCAGTTTTTTACACGCAAATTATTGTTTTATAAACACCTTCTCCCCCACCCCCGATCTTGATAAATCCTGCGGTTCTTTGTGTGGCAGAACAGAAAGGACTTCCTCATTTGTCTTGTGTTTTTTCCAACAGCTGCATGTTACCTCGCGGGGTGGACCTACCATAATTCTGTAATTTATTTAGCCAGTCCCCATTGGCAAACATTTGGCTGTTCCCCATCTTCTGCTATGATAAATTTTGCTGCCATAAATAACGTTGTAACTATGTCACTTCACATGTTTTTGCAAGTCTATCTGAAGATAAGTTCCTGGAAGTGGGGTCGGTGGGTGTAGGGATACGACACTTGCACTTTTCACAGATAGTGCCTGAGTTGTCTCCATAGGGGTCTCCCACAAGTCACATACAAAGGGGCTTGTTTCTCCTGTGAGTCCAACAGTCAAGCTTTTTGACTTTTGGCTAACTTGCTAGATAAACAATATTATCTCAGTGTCTTTTTCAGTAACATTTTTCTTCTTATGAATAAAGTCAAGTACCTTTTCTTATATATTTAAGCACCCCCTGTGCTTCCTTTTAAATGTACTGTCTACTCAATGTCCATTTGTATCACAGTCCTGTTCCAGCAATTTGTAAGAGTTTGTACATTCTAGAGAGATCAGCTCTCAATCTGTGATATGGGTTACAAATATCTCCTCCCAGATTTTCATTGCTTATCATTTTTTTCCATGGAGAAGTTCAAATTTTTATTAGTCCAATTGATCAGTCTTTCATGACTTCTGGAATTTGAGCTGTGGTTAATGATATCTATCTGTGGCAATAGAGAAATTCTGCTGTTTTCTTCCTTTCCTTTTATAGTTTCATAGTTTCTTTTTAAAAAAGATTTATTTATTTATGCATACAAGAACTGGGGTGCAGGCCAGAGGTGTGGGGAGTTAGAGGATTCACCAGAGACAGAGTGGGAAGCAGAACAGGCAGAGCTACTGAAATGCACTGCTGAGGGGAGCAGTGGACGAGACAGGAGAGGTCTGCTGTGCCATGTGGGTCATCTCCCTGGCAGGGCATTGAACTTGTGTTGCAGTAACTGCAGATAGCTTGATAGTGCTATACCTTTAACCCCTGAGCCACCAGGGAGGCCCCTATAGTTTCGCAGTTTCTTTAGCTTTATCTCTTTGATCTATTTGGAATTGATGGTTTTGGGCACAGAACTGACTTAATTTTTCTCCAGATGGCCACCCAGTGGGTCCCAAACCATTTATTGATTCTTTCATATTTCTCTTACTGATCTGAGATATCACATTATCACATACTCAATTCCATATGTAGCTGGGTCTTTTTCTCACATTTTCACTCTGTTCTATTGGGATATCTGCCTGGGCATAGGCTGCAACACACTGATTTAATTATTGGGCATGTATAGCCTGTGCTTTCTAATAGCTCTTCTTTTTCTGAGTTTCCAGAGATATTTCGGTTTATTTTTCTATTTGAACTTTAGAATCAGATTGTCTCCTTCTGCACCTCCCTGCCTCAGTCTCATTGGTATTTTATAATCCAGTGATTAGAGGTATTTTATAATCCAGTGATTGCCATTGACTTTATGAGTCTGGGCAAATTCTTTAATTTTTAAAGCTTCATTTTCCCCATTGTATATTTCATAAGGCTTTGTATTATGAGAATAGTCACATGAAGAACTCAGCTAACATTTATTTCATTTACTATGTACCAACTACAATGAAATGATTATATCTGATGTTATTATTAATAGATTCATCACTATAATGTCTCCAAGAGTGTGTGCCCACATCAAAATAGCCATATCTTGATGACATGAGGGAAGAAGGCAGCTCAGGTGCGGCCTTGAGTTTAGGAGTGGGGCCTGGGTGGGCTCTTTCCACCAGTGGGAGGGCCTCCTTAAGCCCCTGTGTCTGGAGACTCAACACACAGCACCTGGGCCAAGGGAGTGCTGTTGGCTGGAGTCACCAAATCTACACCTGACTTTCTGAAGCCCAGCCAACAATTCCCCTGTTTCCTCTTCCTCCTCTTCTCATTCCTCTCCCCTGTGTAGAGAGACTCTTGGACTACAGAGGAGAGAGAAGGGCATAGTAACAGGAACAGTGATACAACAGCATTGCAAGTATTCCTGTGGCGTATCATGAGCCCTCCCAACAGCCCTGTAGGGGAAGCTGTGGGGGAGTCTAAACCCACTCAGTCATGCAACAGTTGTCAGGGTTTGTAGGTGGCTTCCTACCGTCAGCACACCTGATTCTGCATCCTCTTGCTAAGTGGAGATGTGTGATGAAAATGGGCCCAGATCCTGCCATGTGAAGAACTATAGGGAAGTGGCTATTCCAACATCACCCCTGCTCTTATGGGCTCTGAACGCCCCCTGCTGTGTCCCTGGCACTTTGCCTAGCACCAGGCCTGCCAGCGTCCCAGGTAGAAGGCCTTCTAGGACTTAACACGACCTTGCGCCACCAGGGAGGCCCCTAGTAAGGACATTTACAGTTGCCCTTAGAGTCTAGATCAGGGAGGTTCCCTGAGCCCCACCTGAGGCGCTCTCAGCCCCTCCTGGTCACTAGGGGACATAGATTCTTCAGGTGTCACATCCACATGGTCGCCACCTGGTGGCCACCGGGGGCTCCCGGGGCCTGGAGCCCCTCATTGCGCTTTCATCCTCCAGCAGGTTGGCATCTGATTGGCCAGAATAACACGTCCAGACCCAAAGGACAACTACGATTGGTTGAGAGAGATCAGACCCACCTTTGGGGGTTGGCCTCTCCAGACACTGCTTTAGCATCCAGGGAGAAGGGTGGGAACCTGGATTTCCTGAGGTCTCCAAGGTCTGAGCTCACCCCCGCTTCTTGGAAGGGGCAGCGTGAGCTGAGAGTGGCTTCCAGTGCTCTCTCCTCTAACACCTCCCCTTGACCCCTGCAGGCAAGTGTCCCTCTGCAAGTCAGTGTTTCTCCCCACACCATTTGATGTGTGAATATCAGATCCTAATGCCAGGAGCTCAAGCGTCCTCTTCTGGGTCTCATCTCTGTTTTTCTGGGGCCCACCTCTCTGGGATGACCCGTGTTCTCTTCAGCCTCACCTGGGGGACTCACTGGACCGTAAGTACCTCTTGCATGGACCTGTTCTCATGCTGTGTCCCCAAGGACACATTCCCAGAAACCCCGGGATCTGCATTGCATCTGTGAGAGGCCCCTGGGGCCCTCCCCATGGGTGCATCAGACATGGGCATTGGCGTGGGCATCCTTTATCCCTACCCTACTCCCTCCCTGTCCACCTCTACCCACTGGGTGCCCCACGCGGAAGAGCAAGACACAGGCAACGCTGTTAACCAAATTGTCTGCACAGGCCCAGTGCTGGGAGCCCGGGCCAGCTGGGGTGAGCAGGTGCAAGGCCACCGTGGCCCACAGGCCTGTCTCAATGGGTTGATCAGGTGGAGCCTGTTGGGGTCAGATGTAACAGGTGTGGGTTTAACTCCCTTCTCCATTCACTGCAAGGGGCCTTTCCTTGAGGGTGGTGGTGGAGGATCAGGGAGCGAGAGGACAGAATGCTGAGGCCAAAGCTGTTTGGGTCTGATGGAGATGGAGGAGGCCTGCTGGGGCGATTCATCCACCCCCAGGGAGGCGGGATGTGGAAGCGGCTTCAGCTGCAGGAGTCTTGGGCTCCCGAACACTGCTGAGTTCTTGTCTGCCCTGGAGGAGCCTAGGGGGAGGCCTGTCTCTGGGGCTTTGGGTCCTGCTGACACAGGTGAGGGCTACTGGGAGACTGACAGCTTTATCCACCCCTGGAATCTGCTTGAAGGCAAACCTGGGAGCCAGGGAGTATTCCTGAGGACTCCAACTTGGTTCACTTTGAAGCACATTTAGTCCGAGTGCTCTGTGCCAGGCCTGGGGGCAGGGTGTTGCTAATGAGGTGGTAACCCCATCTGTTGAGCACACAAGCCAAGGGTCAGGCTACTTGTTCTTTGTACTTTCATCTCCTTTAACCTCACCCAACCCCTTCAGGGCAGACATTGTTATTATTCTCATTCCCATTTCACAGATAAAGAAAGGGAGGTTCCCAGAGGTACAATCACCTCACAGGCAGTGAGCCCCAGAGCCAGGATTTGAAGTCAGGACTAATTGCCTGACTTCTAGGTCTGTCCTCACCCTTGGGAGGCTCCATGCAGGTCCCCCTTTGATGATAAGAAGACTGTTCCTCTCCAGTTGAGGTGACTTGTCTCCCTAGATGGTCTAGCTCCCCAACCTCAGGGGTTGGGCCCAGATATTCTCAGCCCAGCCTTGTCCTGCCTCCCTCATCCTGCTTCCCTTCCAGGCTCCCAGGCTGGGGGGCAGGAGATGGTGGTATAAGGTACATGGAGCCAGAGCGGACCTCTTCTCTGACTATCTGGTCCCCTGGGTCAGGAAGCCTCTTCTCTCTGGGGGGTGTGGGGGGATGTGGAACACTCCAGAAGGAATGCTGATGTCCTGGTTGGCAAAACATGGACTCAGCAGCTGTTGGGGGACTTGTTCTGGCTGCTGGCTGAATTTTGGGAAACAATAGTTTCCCTTGTACACCCAGCTCCAGGGGGCGTACTCAGCAAGTTGGGACCTCTCAGCTATGTGTGGGGGGCACCAGTGATCACCAGGGGCAGGGTATGGGGGGTATCCAAAACACCCCACAAATTCTGGACTGGATGTTGGGCAGAACCAAGTCCCTGCTGTGCTGGGCATTTACCCTTTCGTTACTGGACTGTGGCATGGTCCAGAGGGCCCTGGGGCAGGGACAGGCACAGAGGGACCGGGCAGTTGTCTCAGCTGGCGTGCACAGTGCTCCCCGTAGAGCCCTGCAGTGTGGCTGTCGAACATACTGGGGTAGGAAGGCTGTGTGGACGCCGCTGCTTCTCTGACCAGCACATACACTGATTCTTTTTCCCATTTGGCTCCCAAAGGGCTTGGTAATGGAATTGAAGAAATCTGAATCAATCGTCTGATGTGTGGTGACTAAGCTTGCAACGTGCCAAGTGTCCCTCAGGAGAGGCCTGGGACGGCTGGGCCTGAATGCCAGCTCTGCGTGCTGGAGACCATTCCCAGGCAGAGCCGCCGATAAAAGTAAGCTGGGGAGTGGTCGTGTGCGTTTGTGACTGTAGCCTCTTGGCCTCTGACTAAAGGGTGGAGGCACAGATTCCTGGCCTGGCTGGTGTGGATGGTAACTCTGTCCACACAGCTGGCTTCGCTTTTGGAAGTGGTGCTCTCCATGTGTGTGGGAGTAGCCAAGGGCTTTTATTGACCTTGAACTCTACTCCACAATTCCTTCTGTTCATTTTCTCTTTTCTTCTCACAATACCCCTTTGAAGTCAACACCGTTAACCCCCAATTTCATAGAGGAGGACACTGAAGCAGGATAACAACTCCCCTTACCAAAGTTGCTTAGCAAGTGAGGGGTCAGATTGGGATTAGATCTGGGAATTAACTGCAGGCCTGTGCTCTTAACACCTGAGGAGAAAAACACAGCTCCCCTCCTGTGTTTCTCCTTTTCTCTCACAGGACTACCCCACTTCTGACCCCAGAGGGGTGAGGGTTTCCCCACACCAAGCAGTGCTGTAACACCAGCCGGGTGTCTTACTATCTGGATTCTGACACTATCTACCTGGAAATAGCTTCAGATCCCTCAGGCCGGGGGCTCAGTTTTGCCCCACCCCCTTCAGAAGCCAATCACAAGTCCAGGTCCTGGATTACATGCTCTACAGACATAATCTCCACATGTTCTTACAACAACCTTATGTAAGCAGGTGCTGGGAGGAAACTGAAGCTTGAAGGACGGAGGGACTTCCCCGAGATCACACGGCTCGTGCTTGGCCGAGCTGGGAGTCCACTCAGGATGGTCTTCCTGTGGGTGTTACTGGTTGTGTGGGTGCTGGGAATGGTGTTGGACCCCAGGCCTGTGCCATCCACTGCTCAGAACCTCTTGTCTGTGCATAAGATAGACTTTCTGATTTTTCCTGCTGCTCCTCAGGGCCCAGGCTCTCCCCTGATGTATAGGATGTGCAGGAATCTGAGCAGAGCTCAGGCAGGCAAGCCAATTTGAGCAAGGCGCTCCTGAAAAGGAAATAAGGTAGACTGGGGACCCAGTGTCCCCTCGCTGTCCCCACAAGGCCAGGAGAAAGGATCAGAGGGCAGCAGAATTGTTACTGGACGTGATGGGTGAGAAGACACGTCTTAGAAGCACAGACATTCCTTCCTGAAACATGACCCTTTCGTTCTTTGCTTTGGACTGGCCTGTTTTGGTAGAAAGCAGGATACTTCAGTCCACTCTCTGGTTCACATCCTTCTCCGTTGGGTGTGGCGTCCACTGGGAAATGACAAGTTCTGTTGACCAGGGATCCATTCAACCGTATATATTATGTGGGGACTCTCTCATGAGTCATTTGATCTCCACAGACACAGTGGGGAAGGAATTCACTCACCCTGGCTTAGAGATAAGGACACAGAAGGGCAGTCAAGTCAGCTGGTCAAGATCACCAATCCCAGATGAGTCTGAGTATTCACTGAGCCCTGGGTCAGCTCCAGACCTTGTCAGAGAATGGGAGATGCAGAGATGAGCAAGCCGTGAGCCCATCCCTGTCATCCAGGGCCCCAGCACTGATGGAAACGTCACCCTTTCCCAGTTTGCTGTCTCTGCCCCAGTCAATCACACTGTTTTGGAGTACTAGCTCTGCTAGGCACCCGGGAGCGTGCCCCCAGGGGCACCTGCCCTCCAGGTGCTTACAGTTTGCTCAAAGAGAAGTGAAATGTGTGTGTGTGCAATAGTTACCAAGTCAGGGCTCCTGAAGAAAACTCAAAAATCCAAGATGTCAGCTAGCTCCTGCTGCCGTGGCCTCTGCAGCCAAGTCGAGTGACTTGTGTCTCTTCCGGGCAGGCCCTCTAAGGGTGATGTGTGATGTACCAGCTTCCTTCCTTCCACAGTGATACTCGTGGACTGGTTGATTGAGATGGAGCCTCCAGCAGCCTGGGCCTCTGAATGAGGAGCCCGCTAGTCACGCTGGGCATGGAGCAGGAGTTGGCAGTAAAGTGCAGTTATGTTCAGTGGTAGAGGTTTTAAAATTGTAACCACAGCACAGTCTAACACCTCCTGACTGGTAGAGAGTCTTCTATTGCATTAAGTTCTCAGAGGGGTCAAGAAGTTCTAGAACCATCTGCTCAGGGGTCAGTTAGAAAGGTGAGGCAGTACAGGGAGGAGAAACTCCTTGTTATTGCAATAACAAAGTCCATTAATGCCAGACTTTGCTGGGCACAACACAAGTATAATGGTGTTTAATCTCCAACAGACTAGTAGCCCCATTTTGCAGAGGAGATTGAGTCTCAGAGAGTGGAGTACATTGCTGCTGAAGTTGTGGTGTGCACACCAGCAGCACTGCTATCCCTGAGAGCCTGATGCCCTGGCTTGGAACCCTCTGGAAGAGCATGTGCTTCCGGTTCTGCCAGTGGCCAAGAACGAGTCTTATTGTAGCTGCTGGCCCCATCTTCAGGGGCTGAGCCATGCTGCTCTGCTATCTCGTGAGAGATGGATGGGACAGCCAGGAAGATGTGCCAGGAGAATGAGTACCACTCCTTGGAGACATGGCCAGGGCCGGGCATCTGGGAGAGGCAGATTCTTGTGGCCATGGTCCCTGGCACCCTTATCAGTTGGTGGCATTTATCTCCATGGAGCCACAGAGCTATTGCTGAGGAAATTGCAGCCGTTGGGCAGAAGGACATAATTTGGCTTCTCCCCAATAGGATAATTGGACTGTCCTCAGCTCCTCTCTCTTCAGATATTTAGATTTTTCACTCTCCCTTGATTAAGATCTGGTTATCCATTCAGCTAAGTGAGAAATTTCATATTACAGTGATCAATTAATATTTAATAATATATTAATCATATAATACAAATAAAATGATTATATCTATAAATGTACAATCAAATATTTTTCTCTATAAAAATGTGATAATATAATAATCAACAAAATCATTTGGGTACCTGTTGAGTGCCAAGCCATGGGGATGCAGAAAGTAATAAGGCATTTTGCATTTGCTTAGGCTCTGGGCCAGTTCAGAGATAAAGAAGGAAACCACAGTGTCTGGTCTTCAATTGCTCACCACCCAGGGGGCAGGACTTCATGTTGCGGGGATGCAGGCCATGGAGGGGCGTGCAGAGCTTCTCAGGACACTCAGGGAGGGATGTGACAGTGCAAGGCAGTGGCTTAAAGCACTGGCTGAGGGCTCAGATCCGGGTTCCTGTTCTGGCCCCCAGCGTTTGCTCCCCTGAAGCCACATCTGTTAGAGGCAGATAGCAATAGTACCTGGTGGTGAGTTTGGAAGGAGTGTGTGGTGTCTGATTGAGCACTTATCATAAGCTAAATGCTGTGCTGAGGCGCAATGATTGCAGGGAGTTTGAATCAGTGGCTGCTTAGGGGATGTGGAGGTGAAGGGCATTGCCATTTGAGAATCTCATTTATGAGCTGGGGAGTGAGTTGCCTGGGGCCTGGGGCCAGCTGGGCTGGGGCTCAGGCTCAGTCCCAGGCTCCCAGGTCCCTGCTTCTCTCTGGATGGGCTGAGCACTTCCCCCATTTCCGCAAGCTGGACTCATTTTGTTCTGATATGGAAATGCTACTGCTGAGGGGCTGAATGTAGGAGAGGCTCATGCAGGACCCTGGCCAACTCCCCTCGCATAGATAAATGGAGTCTGGACCGCCATTTGGCAATCAGCAGAAAAACAAATTAAAACAGAGGCGCTCTCATCTCCTTTTTCCCCTCACCCCATCTGACAGATTTATTTTGGAAAGCGACAGGAGGCTAATGGAATCACTTAATTTTCCCAATAATAAATTACTCCCAAGTGCAATAATTAAATATTTCACAACAAACAGTTTCCTTCTGCATAACCTTCTTCTGGTTTCTTCTGCACGGGTAGCCCTCCTCCTTCCTCTTCCCGATTGATCCATCAGTCCGGGCCCCTGCTCCGCCCTCATTTGGCCTGACCTCTCTGGTGAATCACTTTTCATTTCCCAGCTTCAGGATCGTGGCCCAGGTAACAGCCATTGCAAGAGGCCCCGAAAGGATTGTGGAAAGGAAAAAGTATCTGGAGAGCAAAGGCCAGATCAGGGTTTGAATCCTGGCTCTTCCCAGCTGTGTGACTTGGGACAGTCACATGACTCACATATGCTTCTGTATCTTCATTGTCAGATGTGGAGGCAGGGTGTTTTTGAGGCTTAGAGTAGTGCCTGCAAAGTCCCTGGCACATAGTAGGTCATCAGCAAGTTGGAACTGCTGGGCTTTAAAAAATTAATGTTGTGAGTCTAAATCTTATTGTGAACTGTCCTAAATTTATGGAAGGAGAGAGATAGATAGCAAGGGTGAGAGCAAGCCAGTGATAGCGAGAGACTTGGGAGAAATAGAGACTGAAAGAAAATAGAGGCAGGAATAGGAGCAGCGAGCTGAGGGGGCTGCCCCTAGACCTTAGCAGGACTGGAGAGAGTGAGCGCAGCTTTGTCAAATGGCCTCAAACCCTTATGTAATCAGGCAGTCCATGGCCAAGGGACCACGCACTTGCCAATCTCTCCAGCCAGATGTCTGAGGCTTTATGGCATTCAGAAAGGGGCCAGCTGGAATTTGGAGACCTGTCTCCACTCCCCTAGCAGCTCGGAAGTGGGTGCCCGTCTGTGTGTCAGCAGAAGATTTGGAAGTAATGGCACTTTCCCCTGTGATGCATGATTAATGTACAGTCAACTGTGGAATGCACAGCTGTTGGATATTTTCAAGGCAAGTAAATGTATGAGACTAAGAAAATACACGGGCTTATACAGTGGTGTTAGTTTCTGACACTAGGCAAGGGTCAGCCCTGATTCCAGAGGATGGGGGCTGGGTGTCTCTGTTGGTCTCTCAGTGACAGCATCCCTGGGAAGGAGGCACCCAGAAAGCACACCAAGTCGTTATGGTTTCCTCCATGTGTCATCCCCATTCAGTTCATGCCCTGGGCTCAGCTCAGTTGGGGTTCAGGACGGACAAGGCATGAATCTCACCCCCAGTAGACTTCCCTTCCAGAAGGCCTTCAGGTGTCACTGAAATCTGTC